TAGATAGATAGATAGATAGATAGATAGATAGATAGATAGATAGATAGATAGATAGATAGATAGATAGATAGATAGATAGATAGATAGATAGATAGAGACAAAAAAGTACAAGGTCAGATTTCTTGCTATGCCATGCTGTGCACCAGGTCCCCGCAGGGATGTGCTATAATCCATGACTGTGTTGCCAAGTACCAAAGTAATCACATCATCATATTCGGGACCTACACCACAGTGAGGGGGCTCATCACTAAAACTGATGAGACAGCTAACAGAGGGGATGTGATATGCCTAGACACCTGGTCAACAAGACATATAAAGATTGTTGACTTCAGGAAATCTTGTGCTTCCTTCTTCATATCAACGACACTAGGGTGGAATTAATTTCATAGCAGGAGAAAAAAAATATGATATCTTATATAATACCTTTTTTTTCAACAGTGCAATAAAGTACAATGCTCCTCTTTATATTTGCTTTTGCACATATTAATTTTCTATTTAATATTCTGTTTGATTTAAAAATATAGAAACAGAATAATTTGGTAGGCTACTATTTGTGAACAGAAAACTGTGATTAACTTTTTTCCACTTTAATGTCTTCATTAGCACTGTTCAGGTTATAGGCCTACTATTTGGCTAGATTTGCGGAGCGGGTTAAGGATAGCCTTGGTCTTTGCTTTGCACAAGGCAGGAAGCAGGAGAGATGCCAGCTGTCACTGATACTCATTTTGACCTCATTGCATTTACCCACTTGCCCCTCTCATCTCTCAACCAATATCCTCATGAGATGTGTCCAAAAGAATGAAAGTACACAAGACATTCATTTGTGCCACATTTTGTGAAATGCATGTCCCACGTTACGGAGAGAAAGAGTAAACAAGACCTATATAGACAAAATATCCTGCTGCAGTTGCAGTTCTGTTATATTCTGTGAAACATACTTAAATAGCCTGTTATTTATGCATTCTTATGCATTAAAATGTAATTAAATGCATTTGGACAAACCTGACATTGCAAATAAAAAAAAGAAAAAGTTTCCAGCATAGTTATATGAATTACAATGATATGCATTATTTTCAAATGTTTCACTTTTGGGAGACTTTCTCATGAGGTTTGCAACAGTGAAGCTTCTGTGCATGCCAGCATGTCAATAAGGCATGCAAATAACACCTTGCACACAAGCTGCTTTTTAAGCTGTATACTCAAGAGAGAGAGCCCCCTTCCCATTTGCTTCTGAATGCAGTTTGTTACACAATGTTTGTGACTTCAATATGTTTCACTTCAAAATACAGAAAATTAGCTCAGTTGGACAGCCATTTAAATTACATTGCATGTCAGTCATGCAAGTGCAAAGTGTCATATTCTCTCATACTGGCAGCTGAGTAGCACTGAATAAACCGAATGTCCCAGAGGAAGAACATCTTGCAGCTTATTCTTGCATAAATCACTCACTGAGACATTTTAATCAGGTAATTATTCATCCTTTCTGTCAGTGACTGGGGGATTCATAATGTACTCCAGATATGCTGGCTCCTTGAATGGCACTACCGGGATCTGGTTAGAGAGCTGTAATGTTTCACCTCACAGGTTCAGAAAAGCACACACTGCATCTTTGCTAGGGGTGAAAATTTGATGTTTAAAACCAAAAATTATATCTGCGTATGCACAGAATTTTCTACGAGTGCTTAATTTCACAGTGCTGAAGCTTCATAGACCCGGGAGGTACCATCATTATGAACAAGACATTCTTGAGTGAATCAAATATCTAAAAACCTAAAGTCCACAGGAAGGAATTGTCATCAGCAGTACTGGACAGTTAAAACTGAACAATACAGTATTTTATGAGGCAGGTTTGAAGTAGACCCCTGAGATTGATAAAAAAAAGTTGTCACCCATAGCAAGCTTGGCATAGACAGCCGGGTGACGTAAATCAGCATGTTTCTGTGTCTGATTTCATGGTGAACATGTTCCTTTCACCTGGAATGTTTTTGTTCCTGTCCGCCGTTACGCCAAGCAAATTTGATTGGCTGCTTGTATGCCAGTGAGACTAACTGTGATTCTTTTAGAAAGCAAAGTCAGCTATATTTTCTTAACATGCTAATGATTTCCCAAAGCCTGTGGATATGACATACAGCAGAGACCTGGCAACCGATGGTGAACATACAACCTGCTGTTGTATGAAACATTCTCAAACTCTAACCTCTCTGCTGTTCAGACAGTGCCAGGCCTGAGGTCATTTTCCATTCCTTAATGTGTGTCAGTGGAGGGAAGCAAAGGTGAGTTTTTTTATTCAAGTGTAGATATATTATATCCCCTCCGGTATATGGTATACACTACAGGTGCCTTGTTGTACGGTTATTGACCTGGCCTGCAAACCAGCTGCATTGCTTTATTGAGATACAGCGTCATAGGACACCTCCAGAAAGTTCAGTTCCTGTAAACCTCACAATCCAAAACCCATTTATAGAAACTGCCCAGATCTGGTGTTGTCTGGTTCACGCTGGGTCTAATTCCCACCTCACCCCCCCAGAAGGACCTGAAGTATAAATATTTCCATCTCCACATGTTCTCAATTTTGTTCTGACTGAGAGTGCTCTGTTTTATGAACTGAATGCTGAACTATAAGTACAGAACAAAATCACATGTGATTACTTTTTCAGTTTCTATGTGACACATTATAGTATGCGGCATGTAACAAATAGTAAAACGGAGAATGGAATGAAACTCACTGCCAGCAATGATAAATCACTGGAGGAGAGATTTCATAAATGTTCAGATTAATGATTGCTTCTCAGAATTTCTGTCTTTTGGAATTTTTTTGTTTTCTGACTGACTTGGTGTAGATAGATCTGCCCATTTTAATGAGCATATATTTAGTAAAATCATATACATTTGTGCATAGTTTACTTAAAATTTTGATTATAATAATTAAGTAATAATAAAGTTGATCAAAGAATACTTCAGAATGACCATGGCACTCTTGTGAATTAAAAAACTTCAAGCCATTGCTTTCAGCTAAAATATGAATCCTCTATTGATAATAGGCCTATTGCTTTCTCTGGCGAAAACACTGTCTTGTCTGAATCAGAGGAGAAATATGCACAGATCAAGCATTGTTTACAAGCAAAAACAATCCAAAACATCTCTAAACAAATATGCCAAACAATTATAGTGTCAACAACTGTGTGTGCCAAAGGTGTGAGGGAAAAAAACGTGTGAGTCACAGTCAGTGTTCTCTACAACCAAACAATGAAGATTAAATAATGCAGAATATTATAATATTCTAAAAATATATATTAATGATGCCAAAATAATTCATTATTCTCTGAAGTCAAAATAAACTATTAAACCAAACCGTTTTATAAAGGTAAATATACATATATATCTCTGGGATATGTTCAAAGCCACAATAATAAAACTGCAGAAATTACATATATTATAATCTCAAACAGCTTTCAGATACCATCAGGACCGAAAAATATAAAATATAAGTGTAAAGTTATAAAGTATAAAGTATAAAAGCAGTATATTTTGCAAGTTGGGTGCCCAAGAAATTAACAAAGTACTCTTGTTACTTATTTTTGAATATGTATAAAATATACTACAATAACTTTCATTTTGGGAGAAAAACATGTAAGAACAGATTGTAAAAAGTGATACTGATTAAACATTCACACATGTGCACAGCACAAAAGCAGACAAACACTTAATCAGTCTACAGTTAAACACTATTAGATGCTATTTCTGTCTCTCTCATAACAACCTACAGTATATTGGAAACTAAAGACACACCCCAGACAAGGAATATTTAACAGATGTTTGTCCTCACCTCAATAAATTATTTGGCTGTGCTTTCTAAAATGTTCTCTCCGCTCATAAGCAGTGGGTGGAGCATTCATTTAAATCTGCTCTGGTCTGATTTATGCTGACAAAAAAAATTCTGCTGTAAAAAGTTGAATTTTTCCAGCAGAATAATAATAAGCTTCAGGTGTTAATAATAAGCTGCAGGTGTTCCAGCCACAATATGGCATGAAGAGTGACTTCAAGTTTTCAGCATGTTTTTTCAAAATATAGTGAAGTCACAAATGCTTCCTTCAATAGTATAAAAGCTGGAAACCATTGATGATATCACGTCATTGTTTTGTATCGTATTTATTAACTTGTTTGTGTTGTTAAGAGTTTGGCCTAAGGGTGTAAATAGACATGACATGCTCAAAAACTCATTGTTTATCTTGATTTATTAATTTAGTAATTGATACAATTAATTCAGTATCGTGTTGCGTAACTCAATTCCCAAGTTCTCATTTCCCAATATGGCGAACGAGTTAAACTTCAATCAGAGTTGATGCTCAAATGCACCCACAGTTAATATTTATATGACCTGTTAATATTCAGATGCGAACCCTCAGATTATTAAAAGGATTGACCCCAAAATCAACATTCTGTCCTGATTTACTCACCCTTATGTCATACCAAACCTTTATGACTTTCTTTCTTCTGTGGAGCACAAAAATGCCTCATGTTTTTTGGATGATGTTTTGGACCCCACTGACATTTGTTGTATGGAGTGTTGAAACATTCTTCAAAATATCCTATTTTTGTTCATACAGGTTTGGAATTACATGATGGTGAGTAACCGATGATAAACTTTTCATTTTTGGGTGATCTATCCCTTTAAGGATCAGACAAAAAGAGGAACTGCCATATTCAAGTGCTGAACAGCGATAAGAAAGATATGGAGAGGTTAACTCCTGGACAACATGCAAAGGAAAGCTCCCTCTGGAGTTATTATAGCTACTCCCATAAGATCAAACATCTTTTTGCCCAGATCTCTCTTTCTATCCTTTCACCTTGACCTGAGGCAAAATTCTCATATGGGGAGACCCATCCCCTTTCCACACCCCCATGACAACTTCTTGCCCAACCAGCGGTAGAGGCTGTGACATTTGAGTACACATATGCTGCCCACCTCCAACAAAGCATTACTCACACTGTGACAGCCCTGCTCTGAGTGCTGTGTTTAAAAAGAGCTTGCTTAGCCTCATTTACGCTCAGGAACAACCACAAGGCATCTTAGTGGCTGTGGAACATCTGATGTACTTCAAAATAATCTGATTACATGCAGGGGCAGACTAATTTACACACCAGCATTAACATCAGAATGTATGCGCCCGGGGCCGTGCTGGCCCTCTGCCTGCCCTGCTTTTTGAGTGGGAATGTGTTTGGTTATGAATATGGACAGGATTACTCTGATTCCTACTATAATGAAATCTCCAATGGTGAACGCCTGAAAAGTGAGTGTTTTTCAATTCCAGATATCTCTTCTTTTTTATTTATACACGTTGCTGTACTGAAATTTTGCTTCTCATTCGACTTTTTAAAATAATCATGACTGCATGACAAATTATTTAAAAAAACAGAACTATTGAATAAATAGGTAGTTGAATTATTTATTTATTTATTATAGGATTTCAGGTTAAAATGTATAAATGTAAAAAAAGGATAGTGTATTAGGTCTATAACTGGTCATCAGGTCTTATCATTTTTTTCTCTACACTTCCCTACACTTTTGTCTTCACCAGTCAGTTTTATATGGTCTTGGAAGTGTGACAAATTAATATCAAAAATACAAATATTTCATGCCGTTTTTAAAAAATCACATTTATGACTTTTTAAAATAATCATGACTGCATGACAAATTATTTAAAAAAACAGAACTATTGAATAAATAGGTAGTTGAATTATTTATTTATTTATTATAGGATTTCAGGTTAAAATGTATAAATGTAAAAAAAAGGATAGTGTATTAGGTCTATAACTGGTCATCAGGTCTTATCATTTTTTTCTCTACTTTTAAGTACACTTTTGTCTTCACCAGTCAGTTTTATATGGTCTTGGAAGTGTGACAAATTAATATCAAAAATACAAATATTTCATGCCGTTTTTAAAAAATCACATTTATGCTTGTCACAAGATTTAAATTTTCTTAATGTGTGACAAATTCATTTTAAAAGAACAAATATTCCATAAAATCTCTTAACTGATATGTCATAAAAGCCACATGCAAATAATTATAAAAACAATTGCTAAATATTGCTGTTAAAAGTTTTAAATGCTGCATATCACACCACAAAATATGGGAACTTTCTAAAAATCTTTCATGTCAACTACTCAAATCTATTTAAATATCTGAATTTGTAATGTGCAGTGCTATGAAAGCATAATGTCATGAGCCATGACCCATAGCTTTCAAAAATACAAAAGTGTTGTCAGGTTTCCTAACATTTGACATGTACATACCTTTCCACTGACACTCTCCTGCAAACCCAAGCCTGGAGCTTGAACATATTAACCAGAGGATACTTAGGAGCATCATAAAGGTTATTCATTTTCAGAGAACTTGTCTCTGAGAGTTTAGCAAAGTGGCAGTTAGTAATCCTTGTGGCCACTACAAAACCTTTAGCAGCAGCCCTGGAAAGAACAAAGGATGACAACAAACCACAATCATGTTATTCATTACAAGTACATTATTATATGATGGTTTTACCTTTTAAAATTGGTTATGTTGCACCAACACAGAGCAGTAAAAACCATACTCTTTGTTCACAGCAGGTGAGGTTATTCATTTTCAGAGAACTCGTCTCTGAGAGTTTAGCAAAGTGGCAGTTAGTAATCCTTGTGGCCACAACAAAACCTTTAGCAGCAGCCCTGGAAAGAACAAAGGATGACAACAAACCACAATCATGTTATTCATTACAAGTACATTATTATATGATGGTTTTACCTTTTAAAATTGGTTATGTTGCACCAACACAGAGCAGTAAAAACCATACTCTTTGTTCACAGCAGGTGTTACACAAATTCCATGTCCGCCTCAAGACCTCTCACGCTGGGACAAACTTTTCATCATGCTGGAGGACTATCAAATGAAGCAAGACATGCTCTTGCAGCAGAAAGAAGACATGGTTAAGGCGGAGATGGACTCCATATGGAAGGAGCTCCATAAGCTTAACAACAACAACAACATATGTGTCCAGGCATCAGAAAACACCTGTAAATGTATAAGTGAACAGATGAATCGCAATCTGAACCAAGCCATGGACCAGCTCAGAGAGGCTGCGGATATGTATCAAGCCCAAAACAATGAGACGCTGCAGCAGCTCATTCAGTACAGCAGGAACCAGGCCACCCGTCTCACCAAACTGGAGAGCAGCTCACTGCTGGGAGCAGGTCTGGGGCAACTGGCCATGAAGTCTTTCTCCACTTATCCAAAGGAACAAGAAGCAAGCAGTGCAGATGGTGGTAAGCTGGAGAGAGCGCTAATGGCCACCGTTGCGGATCTCCAAAGGGTACATGCCCAGCTAGCCCTTTTCCAACGAGCAACAGCACACCGATTCCTGCCCTCAGGTAGATGTTTCCATGATGATTTCACTGTTTTAAAATTAATTTAATTTAATTTAATTTTAAAAGGGCATTTTAGTTTAGGGCATGAGGAACAGACAGGGCAGACAAACGCTGAAAAACGATTTATTTATCTTATCCTCAATCTTATCTATCTTATTCTCAACCAGGCTGAATTTCATTTATCAAAAATGCAGCAAAAACAGTACTATCGAGAAATAATTTATAATATACAGTATTTTAAATTAATCAATAGAAGAGACTAAAAGTGACAGTAAAGACAAATAATCTTACAAAAGATTTCTATTTGTAAATAAACACTGTTCTTTTGAACTTTCTATTCATCAAAGAATCCTGAAAAAAAAAGTATCACGGCTTCCACAAAATTATTAAGCAGCAAAAATTGTTTTCATCATTGACAATAATAAGAACCTGTATTAATGATTGAGCACCAAAAAAATTGAGCACCTGAAATAATGGTTGCTGAAAATTCATCTTTGGCACCACATGAATAAATTACATATTAAAATATATTTTTAGCAGAAAACAATTATTTTTAATTGTAATAATATTTCATAATGTTGCTGTTTTTACTGTATTTTTGCAGTTTTATTCAGTTTTATAATACATTTATTTATTTATTATTCAGCATATGAGACTTCTTTCAAAAATATAAAAAGATCTTCCAAACTTTTGACTTATAACAAAATTTGTAAAATAAAATATCTGTGGCCCTGAGAAATAATTATAAATAAATACTTTGCAAATACTTTGAAAACACTGTACTTTGTCATTACTTGCATGATGATTCAGAGTAATAATGAATCTTCAATTTCTTGCTCGCTCTTCCTCTTTTGTTTAAGGCTGTGAAATGGCTTTATTATTCCCAATGCGCTCCAAGCACATCTTCGCCGAGGTAACACCCTCCATGTCCATGTCCCTACAATCATTCACCATTTGTCTGTGGGCCAAAGTGACCCAGTCGCTGAATAAAACAGTGCTTTTCTCTTATGGAACCAAGAAAAACCCTCAAGAACTCCAGCTTCTTTTGGCAAGACACTCTGTGCTCCTCACAGTGGGTGGTGAGACCCATCTAGTGGAAGCTCACAGCGTAGTAACAGATGGGCAGTGGGGACACTTCTGTGCAGCTTGGAGCTCAGAGCAGGGGTTGGCCACTTTGTGGGTGAATGGAGAGAACGTTGCCAAAGCGCCTGGAGTAGCCGAAGGGCGCATACTGCCCGGTAATGGGTTCATTCTGCTCGGGCAAGAACGCAGCCGGTTGGGTATCTACAGAGATCTGGACTCATCGGTTGCCTTCACTGGAAAAATGACAGGGGTGAATATGTGGGACCACATGCTGGAAGCAGGGAGGATTCAAGAGTACGCCAATCAAGATGGATACTGTGATAGCCGTGGGAATGTGATTGGATGGGGTGTTTCAGAGATCATTCCACATGGTGGCGCTCAATATATCAACTGAGACTGCACCAACATACATCACAATACAATCTTGTACATTAAGTAATATTACATTGTATACCATCAATGATTTTCTATTTACCTTCTTTTTCATTCCAAATAAAAAGCACTGTTTAAAGGATTTGTTCTCCCAAAACTGAAAATTTGCTGTGTGTTTATACACCCTGAGGCCATCCAAGATATAGGTGACTGTCTTTCTTCAGTAGAACAGTAAAGAAGATTTTTAGCTCAACCCATGATCCCTGGTGATTCAAAAAATGCAAGTCAAGGGTACAGTCACTTTGAGAGAAAAAAAAAGCAGATATAAAAACACAAAATGAATCACTGTGGCTTCTGACGACGTATTGAGGTCTAATGAAGTAAAACAATTGGTCTGTGTGAAACTGAATGTTCAGAATGTTCTGAAACTGAACATTATTTACAACATCATTACCTATAATCCATGCCGGTTCGGGTTCTTACACAGAGCAATCATTTCATTTCATAAGACCTCAATATATCATCAGGAGACACAATCTGAAGAATTAATTTTGTATTTCTGTAACCGCTTTTTTTACTCTTAAAGTGACGGTACCTATTGGCCTATATTTTATGAATCACCAAGGGATACGGTTTCAGCTAAAAATCTTCTTTTCTGTTCTACTGGAGAAAGAAAGTCAAATACATCTTGAATGGCCTGAGGGTGTTTAATTTTGGGGTGAACTATTCCTTTAAAGGGATAATCTACACCAAAATGTAATTTCTGTAATCATTTACTCACCCACACATTACTGACACGTTATGTCATGTATGATTTTTTTGTATGATTTTCCCCATGTGGAACACAAAAGAATAATATTTTCATAATTTTCATAATGAGTTTGTCCATACAATGAAATCCAATGGGGTGCAATTGTTTTTTTTTTTGTATTGACAAAAACAGCTGAAACATTCTTCAAAATGTCTTTTGTGTTCCACAGAAGAAATAAAATCAAGCATGTTTGGAACAACATGAGGTTGAGTAAATGATGACAGATATTTCATTTTTGGATGAACTATCCCAAAACACTGTACAAAAAGCCAATTATAGTTTAATATTGTGTATTCTTTTTTCAATTTTAGAAGAGAATTGCATTACCATATAAATAAATTAGTTAAATAAGTAAAAAGCTAATACATTCTAGCGGTGTGGCTCAGTGAGCATAATTAATGGACTACAAATTTACATTTTAATGACTTAAGGTGGGGCAAGTCTAGATTTATTTACATCACCATGCTGGACTTTACATTGCTCACTAATACAGATTTTCCCTCTTCTATAGTTTAGTAATTTACAGTGTTTATCTGGCGTATTGCTGCATAGGTGTTGCTCCAGTATGACTATTGCCAGTTGGTCCAGTCTGACCACAAATAATATAAAATGACCCAAACAAGGCGTGTGCTTTAACCATAGTGGCAGTAACTCTGAAATGACACTCACATGTGTACATGTAATGATTATTTATTACAATGAGCAATACTTTCCAGTGGTGTGTGAGGCATATGTTAAATGACCTAATTTTGTCCTGTCAACCTAAATATAGACTATATTTAACCATATTTAACTATAATCAACTATATTATTTATTATGAAGGCCTAACACATCAGTATCAATGACTGTATATTTAAAAGTTGATGCATATCACTTGCTATTTCTGCTTTACAATGTGGTTTAAGCATCATAAAAATATTGATATAGTTTTGTAACATGACAATGGTATAGTGAAGTTGTTGAATGAAACAGAGAATAGTATAACATATGTTGTTCATAAAGTAATTACAATTATAGAGCTCATTTGGAAATCCAAACAGCTCGAATTCTGAATAATTTCATTTAAGATCATAGACAAAGAGGTTATAATATATGTGAATGCAAAATTGTTGTATATTTGCATAATATGGACAAAGTACTCCCAAAGAATACATAGTCCCAGCAAAACACACTTTAGGAAGAAAATCTTGATTGGCAGTCTAGGCTGTCATTGAAAAACCATTAATGTAGTTTTGGAGTGTCTTTTTCTACACTTCTATGTCCCAGGGGTTGATTTTTTATTAAAA